ACCAGTGAGGTTCATTCTCGTGTTACGCATCTCGATTGAGCTTCACAAGAACCAGTGAGGTTCATTCTCGTGTTACGCATCTCGATTGAGCTTCACAAGAACCAGTGAGGTTCATTCTCGTGTTACGCATCTCGATTGAGCTTCACAAGAACCAGTGAGGTTCATTCTCGTGTTACGCATCTCGATTGAGCTTCACAAGAACCAGTGAGGTTCATTCTCGTGTTACGCATCTCGATTGAGCTTCACAAGAACCAGTGAGGTTCATTCTCGTGTTACGCATCTTGATTGAGCTTCACAAGCTTCATTTTGAGTCACAGATCAGATCATTTTTCAGATGAGCAAAAAAAATATGGTTCGTTATTATTGAAGTAACACCTATTATTTTAATAACAATTTACTACTTCGATACCACAGCAAAAACTAGTAGCATTTAGGGATGGTAACGATTCACTCAACTCACGATGTGATAAGATTCATGATACTGATTTCACAATACAATTTTCTCACAATTTCTTTTTTAACAAAATTAGATTTAAGACAGATTTGAAAAAGGTGTCCTTTTGTTATTTCTCAGACCAAAAGGCTGCACATTACTTTGTGAAATTGAAAATGTCAAACAATATACTAACTTGAAATTTTAAAACAAATCCCAAATCAAATAAATAATTCAAATCAAATAAATTTCTCCATGCAAGTAAACCAAGGTTTTGCCTGTGTATTTTAATCACGATCCAAACAAAGATGCTGCATACATGTTATTTAGATTGTTAAATTCGAAACAAAATTGTCGACTTTAGCTTTGTGATGCTACATAAAAAATCTGAACGAAACAAAAACAGCAGAGGGGCTGAATGAGACGCAAATGTCACTCTCTGACAGCAGGTGGCACTTAAACAGCAGGTATTTATAGGCTGCTGCCCCTTTAAGATCGAATGCACGGATCCAATATAATGATACACGTGCGATTTCTTTCTCCACTGTTTATGTTAATTTAAGACATGAAAATACTTGCAGAGATAGTTATTTTGAGATAATTTTGCGTGTATGTGTCCGTTCAAGCGAAAGAGGAATCAATTCTGTGTTTATGCTCTGCCTGAAATGCCGCTCTGTATGTGTGCGCTTTGAGCGTGTGCACGCGAGCACCGAACTGAATTCTTCATGCGCATGAATGGTTTAAAACGCTTGAATGTTTAATTTGGTGAGACTTAGAAACACATGTAAATGATAAACTATGATCTGTTTCACCCCTATGTAGCGTCTGGACCAATCAACCACACAATATATATTTTGTTTTTATATTTAACAAATACTCTGTAACCGCCCTCAGTTAACAAGCCATATGAGAACCCATGAACCCTTCCCCCCGAAATGCATAACACCCCAGGAAGCCGAACAGGCCCCTGGTTGCATGGTAACCAACGCTGATATCACTGGGTTTATTGGCCAAAAGAATGTAAAGCATAGAAAATCCCTGCATGTCCCAGGGCAAGAGGCAGAGTAGAAATCCTTAAGATTGCATCAGGAATCTATTTTCAGACAGACGAGACTTGCAAGTATCAAACTTAGTCTTATTAATTGATATATTAGGTATCAGTTGCACCTTTTTACCAAGGTGTGTTTGAACTAAGAATCTGACGTTTCACTCAGGTGTAGATCTGCTGAATATGCAAATGTGACAAAACCAGTGCTTGGCGTTTGCATTCTTCATGTACGCTCTTGGCCCTCACTGAGTTCCGAGGCTGTACTAAATTATCTTGGGATGATTATGCAAGGCTGGGCTGACCTCTGTGAGTTTGGCCCTACTGCCTCCTGCCTTTTTCATGTGTGCTCTCGGCCCTCACTGAGTTCTGAGGCTGTACTAAATTATCTTGGGACGATTATACAAGGCTGTGCTGACCTCTCTGTGTTTGGCCCTACTGCCTCCTGTGGGGCTTCCCTGCAAAATACTTGGTCCCTCTGGGCCCCCCTTGGGTGCTTAATGCAAGTTCAAGTATTAGCCGTTCCTCTAGCATAGCATGGTGGGATTGTACTGGTTCCTCAAAGCATCTTAGCAGACGCAGTACGAGTGAAGTATCGATAGGGAACGTACTCGGTTATTAACGTAACCTCGGCTCCCTGAGATACGGAACGAGTACTGCGTACTTTGCCATGCTATGAAGCTGCACGACTCAGTCATCGCGTCAGTCGAAGTAACCTGAGGATCCTATGGCGAAATGCCCGATTATATAGCCAGATGGCCCCGCCCATTCAGGCAGGCTTTGTCGCCATAGGCTCGTGCAGTTACACTGCGTTATTGAAAGGCTTCAGTCATCTGAGAAAAAGGAGTTTTCCCCAAAGCGTCTTAGCAGACGCAGTACACGTTTTTTAGTCTAAATAAAAAGGCTAGTAGAATTGTAAAACGAATCGATGCAATTATGAACATTTGATCAAATGAAGCGAGCATGCAATAGTTTGGAATCATTTTACTTTAAAGAGTGATAATGTTAATTGCAAACACTGCTAAAACATTGGTTATTGTTGATTGTATAGTTTCTTATCCCTTCACAGAGACCGCTGAATGTGTGGTTATAATGGTGCTTCTTTTTTTGTATTTTAAAACACAGTTTTGATGTTTGTAAATAACACTATTACCATTTAAAGTAAAGTGATCCCAGATTTTACTATGGAGCGTAGGGCTGTGCTGGTCTGTGGACTAAGAACTATCCCCGGCTGTGGTATGGCAACACATTTTTGCATGTTTTGTTGAAGTACAAAGCTTTGTTTACAATATAAATAATTGGTTATCAGGCAAATATTACATCTTGCCCATGTAAACATTTGGATACATGCCGATTGACAGAGGTGATAGAATCCCATAAATTTAAATTAAGTCATATGCGGCTTTGTGTACTTTTTTGCGGCTTGATCACTCGAATTTCCACATTTGAACAATATTACAATATTAATAACACTACTTATTAATTTGTTCCCTCATTTTAGTTGAGGCATGTCCACATTGTACTAATTTGATGCTTAGTTTTACTTTAAGGAGAGAACAAATCAATGAGCCGTGGCCAGAAATTTAAGTTATAGGAATTAATTATTAATATTTTTTTTATATCTACATTCAGCTTCATGTGGGGCCTAGAGATTTTACACACACCAGTAATTCAGGGTTTAACTGCCAGCTTAAAGGTTTTTGGGACATGACCTCAAGAAAGTAAGTAATATTGTGAAGAGCAGCGTTTCTCAACTCTGACCCTCAAGGTCCCCTTTTCTAGAACCTTGATAAAACTCACCTGCCTTTAACTTTCAAATAATACAGAAGACTTTGATTAGTATGTACAGGTGTGTTTGATTAGGGTTTGAGCTAAACTCTGAAGGAAAGGGAGTTTCGAGGGCCAGAGTTGGAACTTCCAGCAGGTGTTTTGGCGCAAGTAGGACAGTGGCCTCCAGAGCAGGTTTGGACATTTCTGGTACAGGGTCTAGCATACATGTTGTTGGTTTTGATGTATTACATACCTTAAAGATTTGATGTCTGTTGTATTGTGCCATTAAACTTGGGATAACTTTTATTTGTTTGTGTTTTTTTCACTTTAGACCTAATCGCAATGAAAGAGAAAGAAGTACTGAGTGAAATTGAAGAGAAAGATCAATATGGGAATCTTCATGATTTCAGAACTGGAGAAAAATCTTTCAGACGTTCGCAGACTGAAAAGACTTCCACACGAAAAAAAGCTCAAAGAAGTTATTTCACTTGCTTTCAGTTTGGAAAGAGTTTCAATCAACAAGGAAACCTTAAAGTCCACACTGGAGAGAAGCCTATCACCTGCCAACAGTGTGGAAAATGTTTTGCTAAACATGGAAACCTTAAAGTTCACATGAGGATTCACACTGGAGAGAACCCTTTTACCTGCCAACGGTGTGGAAAAAGTTTTACTCAACATGGAAACCTTAAAGTTCACATGAGGATTCACACTGGAGAGAACCCTTTCACCTGCCAACTCTGTGCAAAAAGTTTCACTCGTAAAGAAAGTATTGACAGGCACATGAGAATTCACACTGGAGAGAGGCCTTACACATGCCAACAGTGTGGAAAGAGTTTCAGCCAACTTGGAAATCTTAAAGCCCACGTGAAAATTCACACTGGTGAGAGCTTTTTTACCTGCCAACAGTGTGGAAAAAGTTTCAATCAAAAAGAAATCCTTAAAAGGCACATGAGAATTCACACCGGAGAAAAGCCGTACACATGCTCTCAATGTGGAAAAAGTTTCCATCAACATGGAAACCTTAAAGCCCACATAAAAATTCACACTGGGGAGAGCCCCTTTATCTGCCAACAGTGTGGACAAAGTTTCAAGCATAAAGTAAGCCTTAATAAGCACGTGAGAATTCACACCGGAGAAAAGCCTTACACATGTCAGCAGTGTGGTGAGAGTTTTGCTCAGCGTGTAAACCTTAAGGTCCACATGAGAGTCCACACTGAAGAGAACCCTTACACATGCCTTCAGTGTGGTGAGAGTTTTGCTCAACTTGGAAACCTTAAAGTCCACATGAGAGTCCACAATGGAGAGAACCCTTACACGTGCCAACAGTGTGGAAAGAGTTTTGCTCAGCGTGTAAACCTTAAAGCCCACATGACAATACACAATGGAGAGAGTCCCTTCACCTGCCAACAATGTGGAAAAAGTTTCGCTCATAAAGGAAGCTTTAACGTCCACATGAGAATTCACTCTGGGGAGAAGCCCTACACCTGCCAACAGTGTGGAAAGAGTTTCACTCAAAAAGGAAGTCTTAACTGGCACATGACTGTTCACACTGGAGTAAAGCATTACACCTGCCCTGAGTGTGGAAAGAGTTTTGCTCATCATGGAAACCTTAAAGTCCACATGGTAATTCACACTGGAGAGAGCCCTTTCACCTGCCAACAGTGTGGAAAATGTTTCACTCGCAAAGAAAGTATTGACAGGCACATGAGAGTTCACACTGGAGAGAAGCCTTACACATGCAAACAGTGTGGAAAGAGTTTCAGTCAACATGGAAACTTTAGAGTCCACATGAGAATTCACACTAAATAGAACACTTACCCCTGCCCTCAGTGTGGAAAGTGTTTCACTCAAAAAGAAATCCTTAATAGGCACATGTGAATTCACACTGGAGAGAACCGTCGTAGTTGCTCACAGACTGAAAACACTCCCTCATGAAAAATGGCTCAAAAGAGAGGGACTAGAATTAATTTCAGCTGCTAACAGTGTGGAAACGGATTCAATCAAGGAAGCTATTACAGGCACATGGAAATTCGCACTGTTGAAGCCTTACACGTGTGGAAAGACTTTCAGTAATAAAGGACACTTTGAAATCCACTTGAGCATTCACACCGGAGAGAAGCCTTACAACCCCTGCCCTCAGTGTGGAAAGTGTTTCACTCAAAAAGAAATCCTTAATAGGCACATGTGAATTCACACTGGAGAGAATCGTCGTAGTTGCTCACAGACTGAAAACACTCCCTCATGAAAAATGGCTCAAAAGAGAGGGACTAGAATTAATTTCAGCTGCTAACAGTGTGGAAACGGATTCAATCAAGGAAGCTATTACAGGCACATGGAATTTCGCACTGTTGAAGCCTTACACGTGTGGAAAGACTTTCAGTAATAAAGGACACTTTGAAATCCACTTGAGCATTCACACCAGAGAGAAGCCTTACGCCTGCCAACAGTGTGGAAAAGTTTCAGAAATAAAAAAATCCTTGAGTTCCACATGATGAGACAGGATTCACCTAAGGAATCATGTAATAACTCCCATCAGATAGAAGCCTTTCATGGGCCGTCACTGTAGAAAGACTTGCAGAAACAAAGCAAACCTTAGGCATACCTGCAAACTAGTCGCTTTTCGGCAAAATTCACTGTTTTGAATCAAAATGTCATTGATGTGAATCGTCTAGATCCGAAGTATTGCATTTTTCCGAACATTTTTAACTTGTATGTTCAAAAATATTTAAAACATTAATCTTGTAAAATTATTTATGCATTTGAAATATTGTGGTGTAAATGCATTCATGGCACCTCAGCTTCATTAAACAGTCTGTGTAAATGCAACAAATGCCACTTCAGATGCAGCTTCTGTGTTTCCTCTGCAGTGAACAGATGGAGTTTGTTGATAGTATGCACACTGTAATGCGAACATTAAAATTTGCAAAAATAAATTACTCCACTGCTCACAAAGAGAAGTATGAACACCGATGACGACAGAGTTGCACTGTCCGAAAAGTGTGAGGTATAAATGTGCTTTTTTTACTTGAAGCATATGTTGTCTTTTTCCTTTATTTTGTTGTCAGAGTGCACCAGAAAGCTTTCATTTACATGTTAAATTAAATAACATTACATCCCAGACCCCCCTACAAGGGTCATATTCCGAACTATGTCACCTTTTGACCTCTTGTGAGTTTGCAGGTATGCTTAAGGATCACACAAGCATCTCCAATATACTCTGTAACTCCCCCATGCTCACATACACATAACACACACATAAAGACATTATCTTTAGGCCATAATTAAGTGGTTATAAATGTATCTAGTATATGCATGTGTTGTATATGTCCCACTATTATATTAGCCTAGTTACAACTCTTTGTTTGTATAAGTTAAGCTATAAATGCTTATATCCAGGTGTATGAATGTAGCTCTGCTTTAAGATCTTCTAGATATGTCTTTCATGGTATCAAAATGATCTGCTCTTTATTTCTCAAGCAATGGTGTAAACTATGTGATCGTGAAACGCATCATACTATTTCTACTATACTTTAGGTTAAACTGCACCAATTATCCAGACCAGCAATAAATATGCAAACAAAAAAATCTCCCGCTCAAAATTCATGCCTTGTATTGGCCATTCCATTAAAGATGGGTGTGACTGGGAAACCAATAAAGACCTCCAAACTCTCCAAGTGGGGCTTCTGTTCTTCTGGTTCCTATTTATTCCTCTCCTTCAGAGATGCTCTCCTCCTTCAGAGAGTATTCTCCTTCAGACACAGCCTTCGGTCCTTTTTGGCACTTTATTCATGAACTAACTCAGCTTGAATTACCCGTGGACCAACTCCTGCTGGAAGACCCACAAGGACATTGTGCTACATTTATGCGTAGTTTTGCTGTATTATACCTAGTCCCATTTATTAAACTTGTTCATATAAACTCTTGATTGTCTCTGTGTTCGCTGCTCACGAATCAAGGTCACCTGACGTGTGATTTCGGTACATGCTCTTAACACAGTTTAGTATGAAGAGTGAGAAAATTATTCTTCTTGGCCAGGAGGTACATCCGTTACTGTACTATCCGTTCGGTGGACGAATGGATCACCGATTGATTTAAATATTAATAATTAGTTATAACAAGTTATGAGTACTGTAAATTAATATTTCCCCTTTTGCTACAATTTGGCACCTTTTCTTCTACTGTTTTATAAGACTGTAAGATATTTTAAAACCATTTAAAACTAAACTATTGCCTCATTGCTATTATATATGCACTTTAACTAATGTTAAAGACTGTTGTTCAGTTAGGTCTGTTCTAAAAAATATATAAAATGATCAGATTACTTGATTAATCATTAAAAAATCAATCAATTACTGGATTACCAAAATAATCGTTAGCGACAGCCCTAAAGTTCAAAGCTGTGCAACCCTAGTTCTAAAGAAACCGCTAAAGTGTTTTGCATTATTTGTGTTTCTCGACTGTCGTATATGTCGAGCAATTTCGTTTCGCATTTCCGTTTTCTTTTATAAATGCCTTAAGGTCCACGTCGTCTCCAAGCGAAACTTCCAGGACCTTCAGGCCACATCTAAGGCGCAGGTCCAAGATGGAGACATGGCCCTCCTGCACCGTTGTCATTCTCACCGGTTGTATCTGCAGAATAAGAGGCCAACGTGTAAGTCATTCAGTTCAAATCACACTCATTCAGAATGTGCAGTTGCGGTTTCTTTTTACTAATTTAAAATTCTGTTCTATCTAAAATAACTGTAATTGAACTGTTGCACAACATTGGTGATAAATGAACATATCAGAATGATTTCTGAAGGATCGTTCAATCTGGGAAGAGTACTACGGCCATTTTCAAACAAAAAAAGTTTGAAGTCCATCACTCTACAGTGAGGAAGTTTATTCACAAGTGGAAGACATTCAAGACAGACACCAATCCTCCCAGGAGTGGACGTCCCAGCAAATTCACCCCAAGATCAGACCATGTAATGTTCAGAGAAATGGCAGGCAACCCAAGAAGACTCTACAGGCCTCAGTTAACATGTTAAATGATAAAGTTCATGACAGTACAAACAGAAGAAAGACGGGAAAAGTATGGCATGTCTGAAAGGCTTACCAAATGGAAAGCCTCTTCTCTATAAAAAACTACAGCAGCACAGTTTAGCTTTGCAATGTTGCATCTAAACAAACCATAAGACTTCTAGAACAATGTCATTTGAACGGATGAGACCAGAGTGGAGTTTTTGGCCATGATTTGGGGCTTGTGTTTCAGCCACAGGACCTGGGCACCTCACAGTATAGCCGTGTTTCCACAGTCTCTTCCAGGGTTTGATCGTGCCTCGTTGGGGCCAATGGCCAGGGTTTTTGGCCCGGCGAAAACCTTGGGCCAAAGCGGGCCTGCTTAGGCTTGAGGAGTGGTTTTGAACAAAGGAGAGCATCAGCACCACGGATTATTTCATATAGTTACCAGCTATAACACCAGCATTAAATATTTTTTGCTCAAAACTCATTTTGAGACAGCAGCGAGGGTTTGAAATAACTTTTGTGTGAGATCTGATGTGGATTATGGTCACCATACAAGGAAGACATATTTATATGCGATGCAAAAGCCATTAGTGAACATGGTAAATACGACCGCTTGAAGAAATCAGAAAAATCATGTAGGCTATCTGTCAATAAGTCTAATCTCTTTGTATCTGACCATCTGATGTTCATATTTAGCTCCGCTTATGGTTATCAACCAATGGGATATTAGTTTACATTTGACTTTTTCCAACAACAAAGCACTTGAATGCGACGAGCTCGTAGTCACAACTTCACAAAGAGGAAATTTCCCATAGCATGTGAAGGCAGCATTACTTTATGAGTAAGTTTTCATTCATACTTATCCATTTACATTATTAAATACCCAGGCACACAAGTAATATGAAGAATACAAATTATTTCAGGAAAATGAAATAACTGGATATTGCATTTGCAATTTAATATCCCTACTGAAAAAAAAGCAATAGAAAACCATCCCAAAAATGATATTATAAAGCGGAGAGTTCCGGAGCTTGATTCTGATTGGCTGAGCCGCGTTCGAAGCTGTTGTAAATGACGCTACAAAGTAACACACCTTTGTTTACGTTTGTGTGTTGCTCTTCAACCACTTTGTTGCAACCACAACTGTTTCTGAGGCGCTACATTGTTTGGTGGAAGAATACTGTTTTTATTAATATCATTACACTTTATTTGCTCTGTTTTATTTTGTGAAACCTTACTACGTATATGGAATAACCGATATTGGTTTATAAAAGCAATAATCCCAGTGAAGCCGTGGTTTAAAGTGAATTTATAACAGCTAAGGGGGATTGTTAGGTACGACGCGGAACGGAGCCGTATATACCACGGCTTCACTGGGCTTTTAACCATTAAAACCATTCCTGTAGTGTGTTTTGGGACGTAGACCTAATCCATTAGGATTTAGTGGTTTTAACAAGGCACCAATAGAAGGCAACCAGTTACCAGTAGAGACCAATAGGCGTCATTACAGTTTCCATTAAAACCAGAACAAATCTCATAACCAGTAAAACCATTACAAATTCTGTGATGCATGGTTTCTATTGTTTTTTGTGTTCAGGGATGTGTACGTTTTTCTTCTGTTACGTCATATTGATCTCTGAAATGTGTGGACTTCTTTCACAGGCTTTTGGCTGCTTTATTTGTGACTAACCAGCAGACGAGGCTGCTTTCGACACACTCGAAGCTCTGAATCTTTTCCCAGAACAGTCCGAGGGAAAGTAATATCCGAGGCTTCATTTGCCCGTCCGCACTCCAGTCCAGCGGGGGGCGCTAACACACACGTGTTTATATGGAGCAAACCACCATTAAACCTCAGAGGAAGAAGACTGCTTTCACCCTCTCTGTTGTTTTGTCTTGAAACGGTTAGAAATGCACCTTCTGTGAATAGAAAAATACAGTTTTTGAGTCGGGTCAGTAAATACCTATTCTCATCCTGACAGTCGTGACTAAGTTCTGAAGCAAGCAGGAATATCTGGAGGAGTTTCATCTGAACTGAGAAGATGGTGTTTGTTAAAGAAGAGAGTGAAGAGAACACGATTAAACCAGAACCCCGGAGAGTAAAACACGAG